GTTCCCATAAACCCACTTAGACAATTACCAAACTTTACATTTTTACCTATTCGAACATGGTTCACTCCTAAATTTTCTGCGAACACACTGCTCACACCCAGACTTTCTTCTGAGATTATATCTTTGTCTTACTTAATTCCTTTTTCAACAAGCTATAGCACGCTCAATTCGGAGCTCATTTGCTCCGGTTATCGCCGTTTGAAGTTGGATAAGCAAAATAGCCAACCAACCCCAAAACAGCTCTAAACCACTCACACTTCTCGAATTACTGCACACAATCCACTCATCCAATTGCTCTCAAATCTTTATCCTACAAACTATATATCTCAAACTTCATTTTGGTGTATCACATGCTCAATTTGACTGAGAGACGAAGCGGGAATCAAATTCCCAAAAACTGACCAGAACAGCCCCTGCATCAGAGGTCCCTGGATAGTCCGAACTCAATAAATTCCACAGGCCTGCGTACAACCCATAACTGGCTCATATTTTAACACCATATAGGGGACATCTCAAGCTTCAAAATTGAATATGGTAGTCCCTATCAGACATCTGTAGAGGGAGATATGCTCTCCCGAAGTTCACCTAAAATCTGCCAATTCTACAGAAAATTCGCCAGAGTTTCATTTATTTTTCCAATAATCCCCAAATTTGTACAAGCTCACTAATGCCTCAAAGTACCTAATAATCCAACAATAATACAGTAATAATCCAATGGGTGGCACACACAAGGACCAACAACGCCTTGGGGAACTTACAACCCAATTCAGTTTATATTTATTACACAGTTTATATTATAGAGCTCACATTATATTCCTTACTTGTTTCAATCACAAAGGTCCCATTTACATGTAGTTTCACAATACAAGCATATAACCATAACTCTAACATAGGCCTAAAATCCTTCCATCTTAGTACATCATGCATCTCTTTTACATTTACAACATATACTTAAATATTACAACTTACGACTTCAACTTCGAATTACCCTTTACAATATTACAACTTCAATTACAAATTTAAACATAAATTCAAATGATACAAACTACTAGACTTAGGCATGCCAACATGAACAATATGCCAAATACTGAAAATGTTTCTCTATCACTCTGCGGGCATCTTGCCCGCTGCTCCAACGCCACAGGTACATCCTGAAATAAATGTCCCGGGACGGGGTGAGATATACGAATATATCTCAGTAAACCAGAGGTTCTGGAGAAAACTCCGCCCAATGGTTCACTTCGATGCATATGAATAGAATACAACAACCACTTTTTACAACGGGATATAGCAAGGGTTTTAGAGAATGGGGAATATAGAGATACAAACTACGACGATACAGGATGGTAGCTACCAATACCACGCACGCCCTGGGCATATATAAGCCTATGGGTATCATCCAAGGTGCGTTCCAAAAACCACAACCATGATGCCCCAACCATCCAAAACGCCAGAGACATTCCTAGTGTGCTCCTACCCGGATCACACACCATGACCCTCGGTCAACTGAAACTCCCTCTCAGAGACCTATCCAGCGGAAGTCCGAAATTGCCCGAACTGTCTACTGGCCAGAGACTCGGTACATAAGTACCCACTGTAATAATGCAGGCATGCTCATGTGTTCTACACTACTCATATACACTTCCTACCGTTGCCATCAACTGGCAAGGTGGAACAGAAAAGGGGAACAAGCCCTAGTACCAAGAGGTTACCTTAAATATTTTTCTCACAAGCTCCGCAGCAGCTTATCCCTCAACTTGGTACACAGCAGAATGCCTACACAGAGGACATTCCCTATCACTCATAATTCAAACAATACATGTTAATTTACAATTATACATGCATTGAACCAAGTACTTACCTCAATCCACTTGGTCCAGGACCAAGGGCAACTCACTGATTCAAGGTTCAGGATTCAAGTCGACGTACGGCAACCTATACAACCATGTACAGCCGTCAGTATACGTCAATTTACGTCAAAACGCGAAAAAACACAAAAATCCTTCCCATCACCATGATGGTTCGGCCCTTGTAGTGTTATTTTAGGATTTATTTTTCTAAATTTTCTTTCTCATTTTATTATGCTTCCTTAGGTTGCCAAGAGGCCAATTCAAGTGCCTTTTTTCGTTTTACGTCTTTTACTCATCGTTTTGCTAAATAATTCACTCTAGGTTCATTTATGTCCCAAAACACAATTCATTATTTTCCATTGATTCTAACACTTTCCAACCACCACACAACCCATATAAGTACCATATAACTACATAATTCATCATTCAAATCATTTTTCAACATCAATTCACTCATTTTTCCTCAAAGGGTCGAATTGTGTCCTATGACACTCCAAGGAGTTTCCAATCAATTTCAACCATTCCACACCTTCTATCATCCTATTTTATCATCATACGATCATACAACAACTCATTAATCAATCCTAACACATTTCCAAAAATCCAAGTTATGACAATCCTCAAAATTTCTAAGTTATAAATTCATATTTTTCACCAATAAATTTCATCGCATTTCTAGCTCTAACACATCATTCTAACACATTATCATCTAATACACATTTTCCAATTGAGCTCCCTAACACAACACATCATCAAATCAAGCTTTAGGTTTCCAAAAATTCAATCACAATTAAACCATGTAAATAAGATGGAAACATACTCACAACAAAGGCTAGAAGCTACCCCAAGACTCCTCCAAGCAATGGAAGCTCAAAAAGCTCCATGAACATCCATTTTTCTCCAAAATTTCGTGGCTCTAAATGGAAAATATCTCACCAGATAGAGGGTTTCAAGGAGAATGGATACCACCAATGTGTTTGGAAGGTTGTTTCCAACAAATTTCAACACAAAAATCACTCGATTCGGTTAAGAAATGAAGGATTTATCAAGGAATGAAGATTTGGACCTAAAATGTCTAAAAGGGGAGGGGGGTCACGGTTTTGGCAAGAAAAAGGGAAGGGAAAGTGATGGTGAATAATGGTAGGGTGATGTGGCTTAAGTGGTTTAAGTGGGGTGGGTCCCACCGCCACCTCACACGATTTCAAACTCATTTGAATTCCCCTCTGATTCCACTAAACGTCCATAAATTCAAAAACTATTTAGAAACTCTAATTTTTAACATTAACCATTCTCCCTTAATTATACTTGATCAGATGAATCCGGAGTTTTCTGGTCATTCGGAGAAAACACTGTTTTAAGCTATTGCGCGCGCTGTTGGCACGCTTCCCCAAACTGACTTAATTCCATCAGATTTTATCAAAAATCATATTTCCTAACTCAATAATCATTTATAACTCCTATTTGAAACCTAGAGCTCGAAATTCAACTGGCACATTTTACGGTGCAATCGTACCGCGGTATTTTTACCCGCGAAAAATACTATTCACAGATTTTTCTGAAACTTGCCTATCCACTCAATTTTTCGTTCTGAATCCATTTCTAGGGTTATTTTTATCATTTGAGACCTTCTACTCAATTTTTATCTTCCTAGGGTTGTATGTTGGCTAATTACCGTTTTGCCCTTTCTTTGTATTTTGGCCTAATCTTCAGGATTTTCACTAATCCTTCACTTAAATATTCACTTAATATTTTAAATATTTAATTTAGAAATGTGAGGTGTTATAATAATGCCTAAGACAAGAACCTTGGTGAATGCTGCATCAGGAGGATCTTTGAAAATGAAAACTTCCGAAAAAGCATTAGAATTGCTGGAATCTCTAGCTTCTCATGAGTTTGATAATGCTCCAGTATCACAGAGGAGAGTGGGGATTATATGAAGCATGGAAAAGGTTCAAAGTACTACTCAGGAAGTTTCCACAACATGGTTTTGAAGCCTGGGAAAAAGGAAGAATTTTCTTTCAAGGGATGACGCCTAACACAAGAACCTTGGTGAATGCTGCATCAGGAGGATATTTGAAAATGAAAACTTCCGAAGAAGCATTAGAATTGCTGGAATCTCTAGCTTCTTCGGAGTTCGATAACGCTCCAGTATCACAGAGGAGAGCGGGGATTATGAAGCTTGATGGTTATGATGCATTGTTGGTACGAAATGAGCAAATATTACAAATGAACAAGAAGCAGCAGAAACAGTTAGATGCCCTCACAAAGCAATTCACAAACTTTCAAGTCTCTTCTATCAATACTCCAACAGTTAGGTGTGGAATTTGTGCAAGTGCTCATGCTACAGAAGAATGTGATTTGATGAGAGCACCTAAAAATGCTGAAGTAAACGGACTCTGGTATGATCAGAAGAACCAGAATAATCCTGGGAGGAACCAGTACGGGAATGACTACAATCAAGGATGGAAGAATCAGAATCAGCATCCAGGATTTAATTACAAGTCCAATCATTAACTTAACCTTCCCTTTCCAGTGCAACCACATCCCCATAACAAAGTAACACTTCTGAGTGGGAGAAAGCTTTTGCACAGCTATCCAAGACCACTTCTGACTACATAAAGGTGCAAATACTTTCAAAGAGGACACATCTTCTTTCATGCAAGAAACTAGATTAGCACTCCATAATCGAGAAGCTTCCATAAGAAATCTGAAAACTCAGATTGGCCAGTTGTCAAGGATATTTGCTGAGAGAGTTAAGGTTACCTTCCCGAGAGACACTTTAATTAATCCTAGAGAGCACTGCAATGCAATTACCACAAGAAGTGGGACAATGATTCAGCTTATAGAGAATCAACTTGAAGAAAATGAGAGAGATGTGGAGGCATCAGTTGAAGGAAAGAATAAAGAAAAGGCAAAGGATACTATTCAAGTTGACAAGAGCAATCCTGAAAAAGTTGAAAAGAAACTATTTAAGTGGGAGAAGAAGAAAGCTTTAGAAAGGCAAGACAAGCCTTTGAATCTCTCTCCATATGCTCGAATCCCTTATCCTTAGAGATTAAAGAAAGAGATTCAGAAGCAACAGTATTCAAAGTTTTTAGACACATTCAGGAGGTTGCAGATCAACATTCCCTTGCTGAAGCCTTAGAGAATATGTCCAACTATGCTAAATTCATGAAAGATCTATTATCAAGATCAAGAAAGCATAAGTTGCGGGAATGTGAGACAGTAACTCTGACAGAGGAATGCAGTGTCATTATCCAAAAGAAGTTACCTACCAAACTCAAGGATCCAGGGAGCTTCAGCATTCCATGCACCATAGGCAAGGTTGAAGTAAATAATGTACTATATGATCTTGGTGCCAGTATTAATGTCATGCCACTATCTATAATGAAGAAGCTGGGGATCGCTGAAGTAAAGCCAACCAAGACAATCTTGCAACTTGTTGATCGCTCAACGAAGCAAGCTTATGGCATCATTGAGGATATACTGGTAAAGGTTGACAAGTTCATCATTCCAGTTGATTTTGTCATCCTTGATATTGAGGAAGATGCCACAATTTCAATGATCTTCGGAACACCCTTCTTGACAACCTCATGAGCGCTGATTGATGTACTTAAAGGTGAGCTGATCTTACGGGTAGACAAAGAGCAAGCAATTTTCAAGTTCTTTGACAAAGAAGTCCCCTCACCTATAGCTCAACCGGAAGATCAAGTCTACTATAATAGTGAAAAGAAAGGAGAAGAGGAGCACAAAGAGAATTCTCCTCAAGAAGGTAAGCCAAAGGTTAAAATGGAGAAGACTAGGAGCAAGGGAAAACACATAAAAGCCAAGTTTAGAGTTACTGAGGATATTTTATCTCATCTATATGCACAGGAATTTTATGAAGGGACATAACTTTTTAATGATGGTAAGTTCTATAAGGAAAAAGTTAAAAAACCCTATAATTTAATATTTTATCAGTTACTCCCTTATACTTTTCTTTTTTAATCACTTACCTCCTATGTTTTTTATTTATTTATTTACTAGGACAAAATGGATAAAATAACTTAATATTTAGCGGCATTAAAAATGAACTTAGATGGAAATAATTCCAAGAAAGTTAAGCTATAAAGAATAATATATAAGGACTTAAATGATTTTGGAGCAAAGATTTTTAAACATTACCCTAAAAAATTATTGTCGACTGTTGGACATTTATTCTCGTATACTTTCTTTACGTGTCGTGGATTGAATATTAAACCAAACAAAATCGAGCAAATGATGATGATGAACATGAATTGATTATAATTGGACCACAAGATAAGTCTGCTGTCTAGAAGAGTTGATATAACACGAGAGTGTGATGGACTAGCAAATTTATTCCAAAGGTTTCCAGGGAAATATTTATTATGGTCCAGATCATCCAATGATATGGTGCTCTTTCTCACATCATCAATTTTTTCTTTTTCTTTTTATTCCTATTATTTTTTCTCTTTTCTAATTTTACCCATTCATTTACATTAAAGAACCACCTAAAAAATGGTGATCCGGATCACAATAAATAATCTCGGTTTCCAGATACATTACCCTCAAAACAAATATGACAAATATACACATCTTCACTTTATTTATTTCTATGGACTCCTCAACCAAATGAAAGTCACATTTCATCCTATAGAGCTGAGAGCTTAGCTTTCAAGACTAGGATCACCTAATAGTTATCTTGCTTTATATATTCGCTTCTCCACCATCTCTCACTAGTACTCACCATTCCACTTGATGATGCCGACCCACCACTATCTGATTTTTCACCCTGATGAAAATGTGCGCGAGCCAAACAGTTGCGTAAGCACGAATCATTAAACTTGTTCTGTATGGGTACTCATACTTAGGGCCCGTTTGGATGAGCTTTTTTTTTTTCAAAAGCTATTTTTTTTCAAGAAAAAAAATACTTTTTGTTTTTAGTTCATTTGGATGTCTGTTTTTAAAAAAAGGAGAAGTCACAAAAAAAGTCAAAAACTTACTTTTTTCAGAAGTTAAAAATTTTAACTTCTCAGAAAAGCAGAAATCAAAAGTCGAATATTTTTTTCAAAAACCAAATATTTTTATAAAAATATAAATAGCTTTAACTTTTATAAAAAGTACTTTTAAAATAAGGAAGTGATAAAAGTTACTTTTGAAAAAAGCTTAACCAAACGACCACTTAATAGGCCCAGTTCATAAATAGGTAAAAACCCGGCCCCACTATAAGGTTAAACCTTACATGTATGGACTCTTGAAATAGCCGTCACTGTACATATACCATATTTCCTTTTGACTCTGCCTCCCTACTGCAATGTAATTTATCATCATTGATGGTTGTTTTGTTTCCTCTATAAACATCGCTAAACACCAGATTCAATAGCAATGTTTGATGCTCTGGGATCAAACAAAATCATTATAAATCTGCTAATTATTGTACTGAGATCTAACGTATTGAAGCACCCATAATGTTATTCGAACACACTTTTTTTTTTTTTTTTTATTGTCGAACACAGAAAAGATAAAAGAGGATGAATTAGTAACGAATTGGAATTGATAAAAGTATCATTATATTATGGGTTTAAAATTTAAAATTTAAATAAAAAATACTATGTTATGTCTTTCTCTCTTAAAATGACGCAATTATATATCTTTTAAAAGGACAAATATTTTTCCCTTATATTATTCTCCAAAATGATAATCAAATATTTAGAAATTCAATAATCAATAATTCGAGTCTCACTAAAAGACAATCAAAATAAAAATGCAATATAACAAAAATGTCAATGAAAATAAAAATAACCAAAAAAACAACCTATATGGAAACGCCCAAAACTAAGTTTGGGCCCACCGGTGCACCATTTTTACACCACTCTTCCTTTTACCTATTCCTTTTCACTAGAAAAATTAGAAGATTCATTTCTCAATACATTCTCTTTCTTTTCTTTTTTTTTTCTCGAAAATGAAACGCCTAAAAAAGCATTTCGACCATTTAAAAATGACATTTTTTTTTTTTTTTTTACCAAATGGTGGTAGCTCAGTTGGCGCATGGGAGCTGAGCAGGTGGGGATGAGGGCATGTGTTCGAACCTCTCCAGTACCACCTTTGGGAGGGGTTTAAAGCCTTAATCCTGGACCCGTCCCGAATCGGACTAATCGCGAAGCGATGAACCGATGAAATATTTCCAAAAAAAAAAATGACATTTTTTTGAAAAAATATCATAATAATTCAAAATTAAAAAGAACTACCAATATAATACAATCGCTCATTAGGAATATATGCGTTTAAATTGCGCCTTGTATACTTGTATTGATGCACATTTATATATATATTGGGAGAAAATGGTGTGAAGAAATTCTTTTAGCTTTGACTCCTTGATAGATGCTTGTTGTGGTAGTGGAGAGGAACATGAAACAGTTTCATGTGCGTGTAAATACTGCGCAGAATCAGCACTGTTGAAGAAAAAGATGTTGTTGCAGGGGGCTCGAGAGCATTATAGACTGACTAGCGAAGAAGTATGTGTCTACCACCACTCAATAAAATATAGATAAATTATCTTTTTAATCCACCTATTATGTCATAGAAGTATAGGTCAGAAATTATGTGCTTGCAAAGAAAATGAGTTCCATTTCATTGCAATCATTCCAGACATTTTCCGTACAGATTGCATATGTGTCACTATAAGAAAAAGGTAAACATACCAATGGATGTATTCTTTTGCATTTTTTAGTGTATTTTTTTTATCAGAAACGAATTATAACACATATCTTACTATAATTTAAAATATTAAGAAAGAAACCCATGCCATCTGGCTATAACTCGAAGAAGGTTATTGCAATTTGTACATCTAAGGGGTGTTTGGTTCAGGATTTTTTTTTTTTTATTAGGGAAATGTAATTACAAGAAAAAACATAGGAAAATAAATTTGGTAGGAAAGTTTAAAAAAATTATTTGTTACCGCAAAATATTACTAGAAAAATTAGATTAAATATGCTGAGTGTATGATTGGTTGAAAATAAAAATTTGATGGAAAAATGAATAGAAATTACGAAAGTAACTTTTTTATAAAACTTTGAATGTTACATGTGGTTAAGAAGAGAGGTATTCTTATCTTGATTCTCATCCACTTTTTCAATTTCTTCGATTTTTCTAGAAATATTATGTTGCAAACAACATTCGTTAACAGTGTATTACCACCTTTTTTATATGCATTTGTAATTAGATAGGAAACTGTGTTTTTTTGGGTAAAAGTCATTATTTAATTCTACCAAACGTGGAGAACAGAGAATGTAACATGCAATTTGAGATAACCTGAACTAAATACCCCCTAAATGATTCCATGAATTTTCTTCCTACATTTAACTTTATCTATTAAATTTTTTTAAAAAAAGAAGAAAAGATAATAATGTATGAAATTATAAATATGAAAGTTATTGAATTGAACATCGATTATTTAAAAAAATTTATATGTAACATTGCATGAATTAAAAATAAATAATTTCCTTTACCAAAAATAAATAAATAAATAAATAAATAATTTTTTAATACATTATATATATAGAGAGAGAGAGAGAGAAAGATATTTCTGCATTCACTTCCAAAATAACGTCATTTTGAGATTGAAAGATTAAAAAATTATAATGATAAAGATTATAATAACCTTGAAATAAATTAAAATGACAAAAATTCTATGATTTCTATTCCAAAATGACGTTGTATTGGGCTCAATGCAGATAATTATCTGTAATAACTGCAAAAAAATGAACTCGTGTATATATATATATATATGGTGAAATTTAAATTTACAAACTTTTTGTTTACAAACTCTTACAAACTACACTATGTCTGATCACCGATCAGACATAGTGTAGTTTGTAAGTTTGTAAAAAAAATATTTGTCAATAAAATCCTACTATATATATATATATATATATATATATATATATATATATATATATAGTGAGTATCAAGTGACTTGATGTAAATTAGTAAATTAGGTCCAGTGCACTATATTCTCCCGCGATAATATAGTGCACAAAATTTTTTGCCTATGTTCTCCCGGGAGAACACCTACAGAACACCATTGTAATACTTTTGCACTATATTCGCGCGGGAGAATATAGTCAAAATTCACTCACTGGATAGTCCAGTGACTGAATTTTAGATTTTTCAATATATATATTATCACCAAAAAGTGAGAAGAATAGTATTATTTCCACGAATTTTATCTTTTCAAATATTTAAAGGCATTAAATTAAGATATTTAGACTAATCCGAAAATTGCAGTTAAAATAAGATACTATTCAATAATTTCTACAAGAATTAGTGAGTACTTTTTTTAAAACAAATTCCTAAACGTATCATTTCTAAAATGAAAACAAATAAGTTTTAATAAATGAGATTGAAACGAGGGCCCACGTTAAGGGGAATCATGATCAAAGGAAGATGCCATGATGATTAGTTTGGGATGATCCTTGGGATTTGATAAGTTCTGTTAACCAAAATCTTTGTTGAATGAGATCACAGATTACCTCAAAAAAGAAGATACGGTACTTACATAGAATCAGGTGCAGGCGTGCAGTACCGCAGCACTTATA